TATGTATGTATGTATGTATGTGCGCTTCGGGGATTTGCATTTCCGGGGTTCTATGCTCCTGGAAAATGCAGATGTGCAGTCGTTGAAACGGCTGTTTCGCCCATGTCTGCTGGCAGCCTAACGAGCGGTCTTGACAGAGCTCTACAACCGACAGCTAGTGCAATGCCCCAGATCCCTGTACCTTATACTAAAACCCTCTCAAACTGCTTAAGACCCCAAAGTCAACAATTGATCAATGAACCCCAGCTCGGGACCCTGCTTTGCCCTGCTGCCAGGAGCTGGATCAGATCGTGGACGAAGCCGATGTCGGTGAGACACTGAAAGAGAGAATTTCTTCTAGTAGACGAGAGATCGGAGTGCTTTCGGGATGCTTCTGATCTAATATAGGAGCCTAAATACTTACCTATACTATTTTGGAGATTCCTCATAAAACTAGAGTATAAAATGCCACAAAACCCTATTTTAATTATGAAAGCCTGTACATTAGATCAGGCTTCAGAGATTGGTCTTACTTGGATTGTTGTTGGCGAGTAACATAATTTGTCGGCTAGCGCTAGCTAACTCACAACATGTCGACGCTGAAGATTTCCGAAACGTCAGATCCCGAGACCCGAAGCCCGACCTCTGCTATGCCCTTGAACGAATGAGGTCATGACGGAATCGATTTTGCTGATTTTCTTGGGCTTGCTCGAACTCACCTAGAGCTGGCCGAGGCGGGCCATGCTCACATTTTTACGGGTTGCGGCATCGGGGTTTGGGGTTTCGGGGCAAGATCCGGAGGTCTGGTGTTTTCATACGCCTTTTTGGATTTGGGGGGTTGATTCTAGGACTTGAAAGTTACGGGTAAGGTTTCGGTGTGTTTGGGGTTTCCAGGGCCAGAGAGAAGAGTGAATTTGACAGGGTTGGCCTTGGGACTCTCATCCGCTGCTTCCAACTCATTTGTTCTGCCATGGTCCTTTCAGCTCCCCTAGAATAGAAGGCCTTGGTTATTGAAATCATCACGATGCCAATCCACAAACCCTAAACCCTAGTGTAAGACCTTTATGAACCGTGGGGCCCCTGGTGAAGCTTATCGGCCCCCTGGCGAAACCAAAACCCGAAAGCCCGCAACCCCGAACTTTAACACCCTTTATCCCTCAACCCTAAACCGCTGGTGTTTTTTCTCTTTCCTGGCCGTGTGGGACACTCTAAACCAAAACCCGAGCTTGTGTTCCTGTTTTGGCAGGTTGTTCGGTACCTCGAGACGACTCCAAAGAGAGTTCAGGCCCGGGCCTGTGCCAAGTATCACCCTAAGACTTCAAGGATGGGAGTTAGGGTTTAGGCTTTAGGGTGAGTATAACAACATTGCTTGCTTTTGGGCATAACGTCGGCATTTGCAGAGCAGTGTGAGGCTTCCTGCTCCTCTACTGCTATTACTTCTATTACTATTGGTACTATTAGTATTATCAGTACTACTAGTTCTATTAGTAGTACTGCTACCAGTCGTAGTATGTATTAGTACTATTAGTACTACTCGTATTACTAGTAGTACAAGACAATTGTACTACTAGTACGAGTACTAGTACTACTACGACGACGTCGACTACTACTGCTACTACCACTACTGCTACTGCGACGACGACGACTACTACTACAACTACTACTACCACTACTACTACGACTACTGCTACGACCAGCATTAGCAGCAGCAGCAGCAGCAGCAGCAGCAGCCGCAGCCGCAGCTGCAGCCGCAGCGAAGCAGCATGAGCAGCATGAGCAGCAGCAGCAGCA